TCCTGGCACCCAGTGGAGCCTCCGACGGCCAGTCTACGGTCTCCGCCAGGCACCGCGTGAGTGGCACGACACACTGAGGACTACGCTTGCGGCTCTTGGGTTTGCTCCTTCTTCTGCTGACCCGTCGCTGTTTCTTCGCACCGACACTTCCCTGCCGCCGTTCTACATCCTCGTGTACGTCGACGACTTGGTCTTTGCCACAGCGGACACTGCTGGACTCGCCTACGTGAAGTCCGAGCTGCTGAAGAGACACACGTGCACAGACCTGGGTGAACTGCGCAGCTACCTTGGCTTGCAGATCACTCGGGACAGAGCACGCCGCACCATTACCTTGACTCAGTCACACATGGTGCAGCAGGTCCTTCAGCGCTTCGGCTTCACGTACTCCTCGCCTCAGGCCACTCCTCTGCCTACTCGCCACTCACTCTCAGCTCTGCCTTCGGATGAGTCCGTAGAGTCGAGTGGTCCGTATGCAGAGCTTGTTGGCTGCCTCATGTACCTGATGACCTGCACACGACCTGACCTTGCATACCCTCTGAGCATTCTTGCACGCTATGTTGCTCCTGGGAGACACAGACCGGAGCACATGGCTTCAGCGAAGAGGGTATTGCGCTACCTGTGCAGTACGTCGGGCATGGGGCTAGTGCTTGGAGGGCGGAGTCCAGTGGTCCTTACCGGCCACGCGGACGCTTCTTGGGCTGACGACCAGGCTACGCAGCGGTCGTCACAGGGTTACACCTTCAGCCTTGGTTCCGGCTCTGTCTCGTGGCGGTCTACTCGCTCGTCTTCGGTTCTCGGCTCCAGTTGTGAGGCTGAGATCTACGCCGGGGCCATGGCTGCACAGGAGCTTCGCTGGCTCACCTACCTGCTGACTGACCTTGGAGAGCCGCCTCGTTCTCCTCCAGTGCTGTACGTAGACAACAAGGCCATGCTGGCCTTGTGTCGAGAGCAGCGCTTGGAGCACAGAACGAAGCACATTGCTCTCCGCTACTTCCTTGCTCGTGAGCTGCAGCAGCGTGGTCAGTTGCGACTTGCGTACGTGGCCTCTGAGGCCAACACTGCTGATGTGTTCACCAAGGCACTCGCGCCTTGTGACCATTAGCGCTTTTGTACCCAGCTGGGTCTTGTGCCTGTCTTGCCTCACTTGCTCTCCTCTTGAGTTCACTTGTACTGTGACATATATATATACCTGCTCTTGCTTGTCTAGTTTTATATATATGTCTGTACTCCTGCATGTGAACTGGCCTCTGGCCCTGCTCTTGTGCTCGGACTGTGTGGTGACTTTGTGATCCACCCTGAGCTTGCTTTGCTTTGCTTGACTGGTCTTGTGACCCCTTTTTCTCCCCCACTTTGCCTATGGGGGTGTGTCAAACATTATATATGTTATGCTTGTGTAGGCTACAGTGGGTTAGACTATAGGGGGTACACAATTCTAGGGTTTCCTACTTGTACTCTTTTCACTGCTAGTTCATTCATCCCTGTTTACTTCTTTCACAGCACCCCCGAAGCAGAAAACGGACAACGTGGCAACTTCGGAGAGGGCGAAAAAAGGAGAATATGGTGGCGCAAATTTAAAACGTCACGACCAGCCGGCACCAGTGGAAATCGCCGAGACTAATGGAGGATCCGCGAAACAAGACCCTGCACCGACCGGGAAACTACAGCCGTATACCCCGACAAGTAAGAATATTACTTCTCGTGGGTTTCAAGCCTTTATTAAGGGAGAGTGAGAAATTAAACCGGTACCGGGTATTATGGGGACCCTACTCCAGAGTGCTAATACGGGTCGAGCGTTCCGAGGAGTTAATATTCTCTCCCAGCAGCACTGTTTAAAGGCTCCCTGTTCCCCACAGATGAAGCCTACACAGCTGCAAAGGCTTAGTGGAAGGTTCCAGGCCCAAGAGAAGCCGAATCGGCCTCGGATAAATCCTTCTAACCTTTCTCAGTTGAAAACTGATACTGAAGCTGCATCTTTGAGCGCAGGACCTAGAGATAACATATTCGACGTACCCTACGATCCTATAAGCAATACCATCCACGGATACTCGGAGCAGCAACAACCACTAGTACTCGAGGTGATCTGCAACGGGCGTCGCCTCCAGACCCTGGTGGAGAGTGGTGCGTCCCACTCGGTGTGCGACCGCGGGACGTTGGAGAAAATTGGAGAATCCTAAGAAGAAACCCAGTTTACAGCAACGATGGTGGACGGTACGAAGCTTCCCATCCACGGAAAGTCAACACTGCAGCTGCAGATAGGGGCGTTGAGGTGGAAGCCGACGTTGCCGATCACGAACATCAAGGGATTAGATTTTATCTTGGGGCAAGATTTCCTGAAGCAGTTCAACCCCGAGATCGATTGGGTCAACAGCAAGGTGTGCATCTACAACAACGGGAAACGAGTGGAGCTGCGAAGCTTGACGGATACAGGGAGCGTTCCTGAAACGACACTGGCACGGTTCGAACGGACAGTGAACGAGAGTAACACGGGTTACTTAGCACTGGTTATAGCAGCAGCAGAGGAGGAGGTCTTGGAGCAGTACAAGGATATAATGCCCGACGACCTACCCACAGGCGTATCTCCAGCACGCACCCACAAGCACGAGATCGTGGAGGAACCAGGTGCGAAACCCGTCTCACGTGCACCATACCGACTGAGTCCGACTGAACTGACAGACATGAAAAAACAGATAGAGTATCTACTAGACAGACAACTGATCCGCCCATCCACCTCTCCCTACGGTGCACCAGTTCTCTTCACTCCAAAGCCAGACGGTAGTTTACGGTTGTGCATCGACTACTGCGCACTGAACAAACAGACAGTCAAAAACAAATATCCCATACCGCGCATAGACGACCTACTCGATCAACTGCGTGGAGAAACAGTATTTTCGAAGCTGGACCTACGATCGAGCTACTGGCAGATCAAGATGGCAGACAACTCCGTCCACAAGACAGCGTTCCGTACCAGATACGGCTCCTACGAATACTTGGTGATGCCGTTCGGACTCTGCAACGCACCAGCAACGTTTCAGGCGGAGATGAATCACATCTTACGACCCCTGCTGGACGAATGCGTGGTGGTGTACCTGGACGACATTCTCATCTACTCCAAGAACATGAAGGAGCACGTGGAGCATCTGCGGAAGGTGTTCGAGATCCTGCGGAAAAACAAGTTCTACGTGAAGCTGACAAAGAGCGAATTCGCCCTGAAGAAGGTGCAGTTTCTCGGGCACATGGTGAGTGCCGAGGGCGTACACGTGGACCCATGGAAGATCGAAGCCGTCAAGAAGTGGAAAGTACCAGAGAACGTGAAGGAGTTACAGCAGTTCCTAGGCTTCACCAACTACTACAACAGGTTCGTGCCGCAGTACGCTAAGATAGCAGCGCCACTGACCGACCTACTGAAAAAGGATACGCCCTACAAATGGGATACCCTTCATCAGCAAGCCATGGAGCAGCTACAGACAGCACTGACTATAGCGCCAGTACTCATCTTGCCGGATCCAGACAAGGACTACGTGGTGGAAGCAGATGCTAGTGACCAAGCAGTCGGAGCAGTACTGATGCAGGATCACGGACGCGGTTTGCAGCCCATCGCCTACCTCAGTAAGAAGCTACACGGAGCAGAACTAAGCTACCCCATTCACGACAAGGAAGCCTTAGCGATAGTCATAGCCTTCAAGGCGTGGAGGTGTTACCTAGAGGGAGCCAAGACTACAGTCTATACTGACCAGTGCAGTCTCAAATACCTGAAGTCACAGGCGACACTCTCACGACGACAGGTGCGGTGGGTGGACTTCCTGGAAACTCACTTCCACTACGACATCGTCTACAAGCCCGGGCTACACAACAAGGCAGACGCGTTGAGCCGCCCCGGACATGTAGCAGGCATCCAGCTCGACGGGATGAACCCTCTGCTCAAGGGTCTATTCCAACATGGGTACTCCGTGGACGCAAAAATCGCTACAGCACAGACCAAGAAGTTGTTACAGTGGGAGAAAGACTTAGCTGTAAGGAAGGGTTCAGGAAAGGTTTGGGTACCGAATTACGCCCCGCTACGGCAGATCCTATTGGAGGAGTTTCACGACGTACCTTACGCGGGACATTTCGAGAGCAAAAAGACGTTATCAGGGATAGCGAAGTATTACTACTGGCCCGGGATGGCAGTAGACGTGCAGCAGTTCGTCACCTCTTGCGACACGTGCCAGCGGATGAAGAGCAGCAAGCAGAAAAAAGCAGGGTTACTTCAGCCTCTACCCGTACCGGAGCAGCCATGGCAGGTCGTTAGCCTCGACTTTATCACAGGACTTCCTTCGACCTCACGGGGACATGATTCCATCCTCGTGGTGATCGATAAGTGTCAGAATGTTATTTGTCTAGCCTGCATTGGGGTGCTCAATACTGAGTACAACCCTTTAGGGTTTTCTATTTGTGTATCCCAACTCTTGCTAGTCACACCTTTTTCCTTCCCTTCCAAATCTCTCGATACTCTCCCCTAGGAGAAACTCACTCGAACTCACCTACCTCCTAGTGTGGGCCTAGGCTACTAAGCCTAGGCCCCACACCTACTATTTTGTCATGGTATCTAGAGCGAGCATGTTCCTGCCGCCTAGCTTAACAGGCCCACCAACGTCTTCCGCTGCCCTACTGTCCGCCGCGCGCCCCGTGGCGCGCGGCTCTGCATTTTCTTCCCGCCACGCGCTCCGAGCGCGTGGCGGCTTTTTTCTGCCCGCCGCGCGCTCGGGGCGCGCGGCGGTTTTCCCGTCCATCGAAGCGCCCTCGGGGGGGCTTGCGCGCTGCCCTCCCCGCTGCTCGTCACGACGCCCGCGCGGGACCCGCGGGGCGTCGCCCCTAGTCGTCGCGACGACCCTACGGGACCCGCGGGGCGTCGCCCCTGCTCGTCGCGACGTCCGTGCGGGACCCGCGGGGCGTCACCCCTACTCGTCGCGACGCCCCCTGTGGGACCCGCGGGGCGTCGCCCCTGCTCGTCGCCACGCCCCATGCGGGACCCGCGGGGCGCCGTCAGTTCCTGCAGCAGCAGCCGCCGCCGGCCTTCAGCAGCAGACGCCGCCGCCCTGCAGCAGCAGCCGCCGCCAGGCCTGCAGCAACAGACGCCGCCGCCCTGCAGCAGCAGCCGCCGCCAGGCCTGCAGCAGCAGCCGCCGCCAGAGCCTGCAGCAGCAGCCGCCGCCAGAGCCTGCAGAGCAGCCGCCGCCAGAGCCTGCAGCAGCAGACGCCGCCAGGCCTGCAGCAACAGACGCCGCCGCCCTGCAGCAACAGCCGCCGCCAGGCCTGCAGCAGCAGCCGCCAGGCCTGCAGCAGCAGCCGCCGCCAGAGCCTGCAGCAGCAGCCGCCGCCAGAGCCTGCAGCAGCAGCCGCCGCCAGAGTCTGCAGCAGCAGCCGCCGCCAGAGCCTGCAGCAGCAGCCGCCGCCAGCGCCTGCAGCAGCTGCCGCCCCTGGACCCGGTACGCTCTGTGCTGCCCTGTGCTGCCCGTGCTTGTGCTGCCTGTGCCTGTGCTGCCCGTGCCTATGCTGCCCGTGCCTGTGCTGCCCGTGCCTGTGCTGCCCGTGCCTGTGCTGCCCGTGCCTGTGCTGCCCGTGCCTGTTGCTGCCCGTGCCTGTGCTGCCCGTGCCTGTGCTGCCCGTGCCTGTTGCTGCCCGTGCCTGTGCTGCCCGTGCCTGTTGCTGCCCGTGCCTGTGCTGCCCGTGCCTGTGCTGCCCGTGCCTGTTGCTGCCCGTGCCTGTGCTGCCCGTGCCTGTGCTGCCTGTGCCTGTGCTGCCCGTGCCTGTTACTGCCCGTGCCTGTTGCTGCCCGTGCCTGTGCTGCCCGTGCCTGTGCTGCCCGTGCCTGTGCTGCCCGTGCCTGTGCTGCCCGTGCCTGTTGCTGCCCGTGCCGGTGCTGCCCGTGCCTGTGCTGCCCGTGCCTGTGCTGCCCGCTGCCCGTGCCTGTGCTGCCCGTGCCTGTGCTGCCCGTGCCTGTGCTGCCCGTGCCTGTGCTGCCCGTGCCTGTTGCTGCCCGTGCCTGTTGCTGCCCGTGCCTGTGCTGCCCGTGCCTGTGCTGCCCGTGCCTGTTGCTGCCCGTGCCTGTGCTGCCCGTGCCTGTGCTGCCCGTGCCTGTTGCTGCCCGTGCCTGTGCTGCCCGTGCCTGTTGCTGCCCGTGCCTGTGCTGCCCGTGCCTGTGCTGCCCGTGCCTGTGCTGCCCGTGCCTGTGCTGCCCGTGCCTGTTGCTGCCCGTGCCTGTGCTGCCCGTGCCTGTTGCTGCCCGTGCCTGTGCTGCCCGTGCCTGTTGCTGCCCGTGCCTGTGCTGCCCGTGCCTGTGCTGCCCGTGCCTGTTGCTGCCCGTGCCTGTGCTGCCCGTGCCTGTGCTGCCCGTGCCTGTTGCTGCCCGTGCCTGTGCTGCCCGTGCCTGTTGCTGCCCGTGCCTGTGCTGCCCGTGCCTGTGCTGCCCGTGCCTGTTGCTACCCGTGCCTGTGCTGCCCGTGCCTGTGCTGCCCGTGCCTGTTGCTGCCCGTGCCTAGTGCGCTCTGCTACTGTCTGCGCCCCCGTTTCCGGGTATGGGGGTGGCTGGTGTGCATTCCTCCCTTTCCTCCTCCTCCTTCGTCTCCCACTGCTGCAGCTGTCGCTGAGGGGGGTGGTTGTGTGGGAGACTGGGGTTTAGGGTTTAAGGGGGGTGCGTGGGAGTGGAGCTAGCGGTGTAGCAGCGGGTGTGTGTCAGGGGGGGTGGGACTGTTTGGGGAAGCTGCATGGAAGTTGCCGTCCTGTAGTCCGCAGCACCTGTAGTCCGGGGCGCTGTCCCGGTAGCCCAGTGAGCTAGACTTCTACGCCAGCCGCCCGTGGGTCCGTTGCCCGTCTGCCGCTGCTTGAGCCGCGGGGCCTGTTACTCCTGTAGTCCGGGCACTGTCCGGTAGCCGCTGTGCCAGTCTGCCTCCTGTTGCCCGTGTGTCTGCAGCTTCAGCCGTCTCCTCCTATCTCCTCTCCCCTCACTCTCTCTCCTCCTCCTCACTTGCCCGTTGTGACAACCACTAGCTTTGCTCATAATTCTAAACTTTAAACTATTGCTTCTTTAACTTGTGCTCAGAATGTGTGGTGACATTGTGATCCACCCTGAGCTTGTACTACTTTGCCTGCTCTGCTGATTACACCCCACTTTGGCTATGGGGGTGTGTCAGAATGTTATTTGTCTAGCCTGCATTGGGGTGCTCAATACTGAGTACAACCCTTTAGGGTTTTCTATTTGTGTATCCCAACTCTTGCTAGTCACACCTTTTTCCTTCCCTTCCAAATCTCTCGATACTCTCCCCTAGGAGAAACTCACTCGAACTCACCTACCTCCTAGTGTGGGCCTAGGCTACTAAGCCTAGGCCCCACACCTACTATTTTGTCAATAAGTTCTCCAAAATGGGTCACTTCATACCGACCAACGCCACAGCTACAGCTGAAGCAACTGCTCGACTCTTCTTCGACCGCATCATCACCATCCACGGCATCCCCGCTACACTCATCTCAGACAGAGACCCCAAATTCACGAGTAAGTTCTGGAAGGAGCTCATGGGACTGTTGGGGACAAAACTTGCAATGTCTTCAGCATACCACCCCCAGACTGACGGACAGACAGAGCGACTCAATCAAGTGGTTGAACAGTTACTACGCACAGCTTGCAAGGACGACGTCAGCCACTGGGACACACAGTTACCGACCCTAGAGTTCGCTTACAACAACGCATCACATGCGGCCACAGGAAAAACTCCTTTCTTCCTATGTTACGGACGCGAACCACTCACACCATAGCAGCCAACCACACCGGCATACGTCCAAGCCGCACATGACTTCGTCACCACCATGCACCAGCTATGGGAGAAGACTCAGCGACGTCTCACCACGATGCAGAACTCCCAGAAGCAGTATGCCGATCGTCAGCGACGTGATCACTCAGTAGCAGTCGGAGATCAGGTGCTTCTTGACACGCGCAACTTGAACCTGTCTCACCTCCCATCCAAGCTCCGGCCTCGCTTCTGTGGTCCTTTTCTCGTTGAGGCACAGGTGACACCAGTTACATTCCGCTTGCGCTTACCAGATACATGGAAGCTTCACAACGCTTTCCATGTCCAGCTACTGAAGCCCTACAAGGACCCCAACCAACAGTTCCAGGGACGGCAACTACCGCCACCACCACCTGTTCTCATACAGGATGAACCCGAGTACGAGATCGAGCACGTTCTCACCCATCGGCGCCGCGGTGGCAAGACTCTCGAGTTCCTGATACGCTAGAAGGGATACGACCCCACCGAGGACAGTTGGGTTGCAGAAGCTGATATGGGCAACGCACGCCGTGCTCTCAAGGACTATCTTGTCAAGCAGGGTGTATCTCACACCACCCAGCTTTGAGGGGGGGACGTGTGAGAGTACGACGGCTTATGCCAGCTATGCTTGCTTGCCTCTACTTTATCATGCTATTTCTAGCATAGGATAATCATATGCATGCATGAATTGCTTGATTTCCTAGGCTAGGTGCTTTCCTATATTTTATTATAGTTATAGCACCGAGCTAGGTTGCGTGCACCGAATTCTGGCTTTTCGGTTGCCACCGAATTGCCTTCTACCGAATTCGGTAAGGATCTGTTCGGGACGCTTCGCGACCCGCGGAACCTTCGCGTAACACGTGGTTACGGGGCCTTGTGTCGAGCCTATATATAGCCTCGTGTTGTACCCAGGTGATCATTCAATTCAATTTGAATCATCTTTTTTGAGCTCGATCCCAGATCCTCACACCTATCGCACTGGAGGAACAGCTGGAGGTCATCGACCCATACCTCAAAGTCAACAGCACGGCCCTCAGTATCAAAGGTAAGAACACTGGGGGTAGCCATGACTGCAGAGGTCTAGCAAGGAGCGGGCTCACCAGTACGAGTAAGTAGGGCCGGGGCGCGTTGGTAGGACTAGTAGCGGCTCAGCGGCTCGGCTGCTGGGCGGCTCAGCGGTCGGGCGGCTCGGCGGCTCGGCTGCTGGGCGGCTCGGCTATCTGGCGGCTCGGCGGCTAGGCGGCTCGGCTGCTGGGTGGCTCGGCGGCTCGGCTGCTGGGGGGCTCGGCTGTCGGGCGGCTCGGCGGCAAGGCGGATCGGCTGCAGGGCCGCGACGGGCGGCGACGGGGCCGCGAACGGCGGTGACGGGGCCGCGAGAGGAAGGCGACGGGGCCTCGAGAGGGCGGCGACGGGGCCGCGATAGGGCGGCAACGGGGCCGTGATAGGGCGGCGACAGGGCCGCGATAGGGCGGCGACGGGGCCGCGAGAGGGCGGCGACGGGGCCGCGATAGGGCGGCGACGGGGCCGTGGAGGAGGGGCCGCTGAGGGCGGCGCGACGGGTTGCTGAGGGCGGCGCGACGGGCCGCTAGGAGAGTGGCGACGGGGTCGCGAGGGGCCGTGAGAGAGGGGGAGGGCCGCTAAGGGCGGCACAACGGGTCGCTAAGGGGAGGGCGGCACACAGGGCGCGCCTCGGTCAGGGGCGACTCGATCTTAGGGCAGGAAAAAAAAATTGATGTTCAATGGTGGGCCCTAGGAAGTTCCAACTAGGGAACCTGCTCTATACCATGTGAGAATTGAGGAATGAATGAACTAGCAAACAGGTGGGTACAAGTAGGAAAACCTAGAAGTGTTGTACCCCATATAGTCTACCCCACTACAGCCTACACAGACTATAGTATAAGAGTTTGACACGTAGATGCTGACCAGGAGGTCCCGCATAGGCTTCATTTTCAAGCTTGAGCCTGCAGGAACCATCTCGTGAAACTTACAAAAGCAGGAGCTCATCGCCCTTTCGTCCGTAGAAGCAGAATTTATCGCAGCAAGTGCAGCAGTTCGCAAAGGACTATACCTCACGCTGCTCCTACAGGAAACGAAGACAGATATGAACGAGTCCTTCAAGTTATTCTGCGACTATTAACGGAAGTTGAGTGTTGGCCCCGCCCTCGCTTGGGCATAACCGACGACTTGGTCGGATGTACGGAAGTAGCAGCCGGCCATTCACAGTGGGAGAGCTGCTCGATAGGCTTCGTCGAGCTGCAGGGGACTGCTGTGGTGTTGCTATCAACCAGGGAGCTCGACACCTACAACTGATTGGTCTGGGCGACGGCTGGGCCGTCGACTAGGAGGGGCAGTTCGACTAGGAGGTCGGCGGAGCAGTCCGTCGACCTGTAGCTTGACCGGGAGGTCGACAGAGCAGTCCGTCGACCTGAAGCTCGACCGGGAGGTTGACAGAGCAGTCTATCGACCTGCAGCTCGAGTCGACGGAGCAGTCCGTCAACCTGCAGCTCGACCAGGAGGTCGACAGAGCAGTCCGTCGACCTGCAGTTCGACTAGGGGGTCGACGGAGCAGTCCGTCGACCTGAATAGCGAGATGGCAGCTAATTTCCTAACGAAGAAACTACCACGTCAGAAGTTCCAGTATTGCTCGGACCTGTGCAGAGTCGTTCGGAAGAGCCACGTGGCGCACCTCCAGGAATGAAGGGAAGTGTTGGAGTTTGAAGGGAATTGAGCTTAGCATTCCCGTAGGTGCAGCTGTATCGCACCCGTCATTATCGAAGTAGCGCTAGCTACAGTTTCGGATCAGCCTGTATCAAGGGTAGGAAGGTCAACAGTTGCAGTCAACTTTGGCGACTGTTGACCATCTGGACCGACAATTGACACACCATCGAGGAATGGCAATAGGTGTAACCGTTTGTACGGTTACACGCAGCGACATGGTAACAAGAAGAAGTGCAAAAGTCGGAGTCACTGTAGAATTGCTTGTGAAGCAGTTATTAGAATAACGAAATGTACCCCTCAGAGTACATGGCTATCTAGATCTATTTAGGGTGTGTTCCTACGGCCTCATATCAGAAAACCTCGTATCAAGAATGTGATGAGAAACGAGGAATGAATGCATTGAGCAGAATGAGGAGTACAAGTGGTAAACCCTAAAGTGTTGTACCCCACATGAACTGCCCCACTACAGCCTACACAGACTATAACATATATGCCTCACACACCCCCATAGGCAAAGTGGGGGAGAACAAGGGGTCACAAGACCAGTCAAGCAAAGCAAAGCAAGCTCAGGGTGGATCACAACGTCACCACACACTCCGAGCACAAGAGCAAGGCCACAAGGCCAGTTCACATGCAAGATCATATATATAAAGGTAAACAAGCAAGTGCAGGTATAGAAAGAGTACAGTAGGCAAGTGAGGCCAAGAAGGCACAAGACTTAGCATAGCACAGAAGCGCTGATGATCACAAGGCGGAAGGGCCTTGGTGAAGATATCAGCAATGTTGGCCTCAGAGGCCACGTAGGTGAGGCGGAGCTGACCACGCTGCTGCAGCTCACAAGCCAGGAAGTAGCGAAGAGCAATGTGCTTCGTTCTGTGCTCTAGTCTGTGCTCCCGACACAAGGCCAGCATGGCCTTGTTGTCTACGTACAGAACTGGAGGAGAACGAGGCGGCTCTCCTATGTCACTCAGCAGGTAGGTGAGCCAGCGTAGCTCCTGTGCAGCCATGGCCCCTGCGTAGATCTCAGCCTCACAACTGGAGCTGAGAACAGAAGACGAGCGGGTAGACCGCCACAAAACAGAGCCGGAGCCAAGGCTGAAGGTGTAACCCTCTGACGACCGCTGTGTCGGCTGGTCGTTAGCCCAAGAAGCGTCTGCGTGACCTGTAAGGACCACTCGACGTCGCCCTCCAAGCACTAGCCCCATGCCCGACGTACTGCACAAGTAGCGCAACACCCTCTTCGCTGCAGCCATGTGCTCTGGTCGGTGTCTCCCAGGAGCAACATAGCGTGCCAAGATGCTAAGAGGGTATGCAAGGTCAGTTCGTGTGCAGGTCATCAGGTACATGAGGCAGCCAACAAGCTCTGGGTGCGGGCCACTCAGCTCTACAGACTCATCCGAAGGCAGAACTGAGAGTGAGTGGCGAGTAGACAGAGGAGTGGCCTGAGGCGAGGAGTCGTTAAGTCGAAGCGCTGAAGGACCTGCCGCACCAAGTGTGACTGAGTCAGGGTAATGGTGCGCT